ATGGGGAGGATGTGACTACAAGGGGGTGATGGAACTGATCTGTTTCCTGATCATAGTAGTGGTTACATGATTCTATTCACATGTTAAAATTCATAGAACTATATACCAAATAAAGATTAATTTTACTGTATGTTAAGTTAAAAAGTAAAAACGTTTACAGGAATGAAACTGAAATAACTACTTTGAAGGAAATAAACATTCCATGAGGACATGAGAGAAGGTAGACACCTTACTTAGATAGGGGGAGGAGGGCACCAAGAATGGTTGAGGAAGTGATATTGGAGCTGGGTTCTAAAGGGTGATTTAGAATTTATTTGGGCCAAAGGAAGCTCAATTCAGAAAGAAGAAATAGTATGTGTCAAGGCCCTGGGGTAGGAGGAAGGGCTGTTCATTTTCATCTGCAGCTGACTAGAGCACAGGAGTGCCCTGGGGGGTGGGAGAGGTGGTGGTGGGGAAGAGGAGGAGGCTAGAGCAGTAAAAGAGCCAGATTTTGCTGGGCTAAGAGTTTAGTTTTTATTCTAAGACAGATGGGTAGCCAAGGGTTTTAGGCAATTGTAACACAAAATCAGATCTAGGTTTTGAAAAAGATCACTTGGACTGCCATATGGAGAAAGGTTTGAGGGAGGGTGGGGATGGAGCCTAACTAAGCATGTAAGAAGCATGGAGTTGGAAAGAACCCCTAAAATAAGAGTTTCTCAATCTTGGTACTACTGACAGTTTGGACTGGACAAGTCTTGTTGTGGGGAGCTTTCCTGTGCACTACAGCATCTCTGGCCTCTACCTTCTAAATGCCAGCAGGAGTGACCTTTTGCCCTTCAGTTGTGACAACCAAAAACTCTCTAGACATTGACAAATATTCACTGGGAGGTAAAATCACCCCTGGTTGAGAACCACTGCTCTAAAATAACTGAATCTAGTGTTTCTGGCTTCATAATAGAATCATCCAGGGAGCTTAGAAAATACAAATGCTGGGCCTCACCTCCAGACCCACTGAAGCAGAATCCTTCCAGGTGGAGTGAGGTGGGGTGTGTGTGTGTGTATATATATATATATATATATATATATATATGTATAATTTTAAAAGCTCTCCATATGGTTCTGCTTATAGTGATGTTTGACACCATCTGTGTAGTCCAACACCCTCCACCTCTACAGATCACAACACTGAAGCCCAGAGTAGAGAAAGACTCGATGACCAGAGGCAGAGTTGCTCTAGACTCTAAGTTTCCTGACTCCTAGAGCAGTGCTCATTCTTTAGACCACGTTGCTAATGCCCTCTCCTCTTTTCAGACCTCAGGGCTTGCCTTATCCAGGGCTGGCGATGGTATCAGAAAGCGATGTGATACAGATCAAAGCTGTCAGTTGACCATTTCATGGACATCTATACTGAAGAATCCTTTTGCAAAATAAATAACCCCCCCCGAATTTTTGTGGTGTAATGAGACCCCAAGAATGGTTTAGTTTACATACAATGGCTAAGCATATGAAAGATTTCAGCTAGGCATGAAACTAGGCACTTTATTGGCAATTTTAGGCCTATTATTATCCCTATTTTAGAGATGAGGAAACTGAGGCTTTGGTCAGAGTCTTGAAAAGTCACCAAAGCCAAGATTTGGATCCAGAACGGCCCAACTTTTAAATCCTGGACCACAGACTCTCAAACCTTAGTGTTTGAGTCACTAGCAGAAAATTTACTAAAATGCCAATTTCTGGCCCCACCCCAAAACGTCTGATTCACTGGGCCTGGGTCCAAGCTGAGGAATCGGCATTCCACCAGCACTATAGTTAAATCTAAACCAGGCACCCCTCTGGCAGCACTCGGCCCTCCCCTGTTCTCTCTAATCCAGAGATTTTGCGGCTGTTCCAGGGTCTCAGGTAGCAGAGGTTTGGGGGGGAGGGCGGGGCCCTATCCGAACAATTTGGGGGGTTTTGCAAATGACCTTGAGCCTGGGAGGAACCGTAACAACGCAGGGCTCTACGAAGGCCGGTCCTGAGCTGCAACCAGGGCCAGGAAGGGACTCTGGGGAGGAAGTGCCTTGAAGGCCGGTGGTGAAAAGGCCTAGGATTCACTGGTCCAGGGGTCAGTGGCCCAGCGCCCCACACTCTCACCTGCTTCGAGGTGCGCCCAGGGTCCAGACTGGCCAATGAATAGATCCGTCGCGTTTCCCTAATTCAGACGACTTTCACTTTCCCCCTTTGAAAAAACCTAATACCCCAAGTCAAAAATACCTGGCTAGGCCCTCCCCGCCGGGAGACCGGCTCCCAGCGAGCAGGGAGGGCCCGGAAGTGGGCCTGGGCCGGAGGACCTGGCGCTCGGCCTCCCAGTCGGAAGCCGCAGTGCAGGTGAAGGGGCGGCCTCTGCGCACGGCGCGGGTACGGCACCGTAGGGCGGGCTGCTGAGCGGAGGAGGCGGGGAGCGCCGCGCACACCTCCCGTCGGGCTTCCTGCCCTGGTGGTGCTCGCTGCGGTGCCTGCCACCCTCGGGCACCTGCTGAGCACGTCTCGGCCGGGAGGCCGGCTCAGGTCCTCAGACCACCACCCCTCCCCGGCCCGCCGCGGCGTGGACGCCGGATCAGCGAAGGGTTAAGGAGGCTCGCTCCCTCCCCTCGGCTCCCTCACCCTTGGAAAGTCCCCGAAATGACGTTTCAACCCGACAATTAAAAAAAGGGTTTAATTATAGAGGCAAGCTCTGGGAGCTGGAACAAACCCGGTCGGTCGGCGGGGCCGGTAAACAACTCCGGGGAGAGCAGGCCAGGCTGGCCGCCGCCCCACGGAGCCCGCGTCCCCGGGAGCGGGGGAGGGGAGCTCCCTCCGGGAGTTGGAAAAGCGCTGGAAATTCGAGGAATCGCGTTCTCTTTGGGGGGGGAGGGGGTTAACTAGCCCGGGCGCCGAGGCCAGGTGCTGGTGCTTTGGCGGGTCCCGCAGCCATGGGGGAAAGTGGCGCCTCCCCCAGAGAGGGGGAGCAGCTAGTGCAGGCCCGGCTCGCCCCAGGTCCCCTCACCCCTCGCCTCTACTCTCTCTGTCTGCCCAGCACAGATTCGCGAACCCTCCACAGTCAGACCAATGGGCCTTTTTGGGGGAGGGGCGGGGAATAAAAAACCGAAATAGCTTCACATCAGGACGCAGACAAACCTTGTGGTTTTAACGCGCACCATACTCTGTCCTGAAATCTGGAACTCATTACCTCATCTCCAAGAAACTGCACGAAATCGCCCCCCCACCCCCTTCTTGGAGCCGGGGAAAGGAGCGAGCAAACATCCCTCTCTTTAAGAAAGAAACCTACATTTGATTGATTTAAATTAAGGTGGATGGAAGTTATTACCCTTTCTGGCGCTTGCCAGATTTCAAGAAAAGCTGCAAAATGGGAGCAAAGGGAGAGAAGCAACAGGCGGCTGGACAGCAGAAGGAAAAGCAAGGGGCAGCAGCCGGGTTAAAAACGGGGGCCATCAATTTAAGTCAAAGAAGACAAATAAAAGCAGATCGGGCTGGTGATCACGTAGGTTCGTGGTTGCAGCAAAACTTGTGTGTGTTTCGTAAAGATGAAAAACAACCGGTTCCTAAAACAGTTGTGATTGGAAGATTTCCCTGGGTTTGCCCGGAGGTCGACGAATAAATAAGAAATGCAGTAGTGTGTGTGTGTGTGTGTGTGTGTGTGTGTGTGTGTGGTGGTGGTGGTGGTGGTGGTGAGAGTGCGACTCCAGCGCTCTGCTCCACCCGCCCCGTCCTTTCCAAAGAAACGTGCTCATAATGGGGTGACCTAATTACATCGCAATGGAACCCGCTCTTAGCCACTCAGCGCAAGGGGTTTCGTAACAGACCCGGCGGCCTCGAGTGCTGGGAAGAAACGTGCGAGGACTGAGGAGGCGGCCGGCACGCGGGGGAATAGGAAAGAAACGCAGCCCTGCGGTTTCCGCCCAGGTCCTCACAACAGCCCTGGCGCGAAGGCGTGCGGGCGGGTGGGGGAGACGTTAACAACTTTTTATTTGGGTGAGTGGAGGGGCATCCGAACCTAACAGTAAATAAATACAAATTTACAGTTTTTAAAGGAGTAACAGTCTATCAGGGGCCTTTCGGTTTCGAGGATCCCATGCCCCCCCTCCCCCATCCCGCCCAAACAGCGCAGCTTGACAAACCATATGTTCCGTTCCCGAGGGGGCGGGGGAGGAACAACAATAAGTTAAGTGTCGCCTCCCCCATCTCTTTACCTTCATTCTTGCCAAAGTAACTTTTTTTCATTGTTCAAGCGTCTAGGCGTGTGTGTGTGTATGTGTGTGTGTGTGTGTGTTTCGGCGCGGCCCACAGTTCAGAGCGCGCGTGGAAAGTTGTGTTGCTGGGCGGGTTTGGGGGGGCTGGGAAAAAAGGGGCGTTCATGAGAATTCAGATTTTCCTTACAAAAAGGTTTAGATTGCATGCGTGAAATAAATACAACTCCCAGGCCTGCTAAAATAAACAATCTGCCTGGGCGGTGGTCTATTTCGCGACCCCCCCCCCCCCGCCCTACTCCCCCTATCCCCTGGCCTACACTCTGGGAGTGCTGGCTGCAAAGCGAGCGCCAGTTTAGACCCGTGCAGCGCGCTAAACCGTGCTGTGCGCTCACCCCCGCCAGGCCGGGTCCTGCGGGGGTAAAAAGTCTCCCACCTCTCCACACTTGAAAAAAACACACACGTAAAACCTTGGAATTGAAGGCTTTATGCGTCCCAAATTTCCAATCCCCTCGCCCTGCCAGGTTTGCGGAGGGAGCCAAGCGCTAAAGACAACTCGGGAAAAGAGTAAGTTGTGCGGGCCACTTGGAGAAGTTTGAAGAAAGATCTGCCCAAGATGGAAACCGCAGCGGGGCTCAGGACGGGCTTCTGCTCCCGCTTGCAAAAAGAGAAAGTCGAGCCCGCCTTCCTGCCTGACAAAAAACAACACAACAAGAACCCCGAAGAGGGTGGAATGAGTGATGTCACAGAACCCAGCTTGCAGGCTTACAAAGGAGGGGCGCGCGGCTGGAGAGCAGGGCGCCGGGTAGCGAAGCGAGCGGACTCGAAACTTTTCCTCTTTAAGAAAAAAAAGTTGTGCGCGGCTCAGAGTGGTTTTTTTTTTTTTCCTCGCCTTCTTTCCTCGTCTCCCCTCCCCCTTCTTCCTTTTGAAAGTTTTTTTTTTTTTTTCCCCCGAGTTTGACCGCATGGCTGATTCAACTTCAGTGTCAATCAACTTTTTTTCCTCCTCTTCCTCATTTAAATAAGTTTAAACTCCTCCTCTCCCGAGCTACTATAAATTTGGCTTCGCGCGCCACAGCCAGAGAGAGTCAGAAAGGCGAGGGGCCCCGGGAGCAGGCGTGTGGGACTCCAGACAGGAGAGCCGGAGGCTGCGCCTTCCCCGCACCGGGACTTCGCGACACACCAGATCCTCGTCCCTGCCCCGTGCGAGCGCCCACGATGACCACCACGCTTGTGTCTGCCACCATCTTCGACTTAAGCGAAGTTTTATGCAAGGTAAAGTGGGGCGGAGCGTTTGCTTTTCAAAGATTTTCCCCTCTTGCCGTAAAGAGAGAACCCCAAAAGTTTGGGAAAGCTTGGGGTGGGGGGAGTCAAGGTAGTTTTTTTTTTGTTTCCCCCGCCCCATTCCTCCCCTTCCCAGTTTGAAGGAATTTGGCCCTCTCCTCCCCACCCTTTGAGTTTCAACAGTTCCTGGCGGGGAATGCATGGGAATGTAATCCAGATACCAAAGTTTTGGGGGGCTAAGTTTGCGTGACGGGGCTCCCCGAGGTATGCGGGGCACTGGCTTGGATTCGGGCGATTTTTCGGTGGTCACGTGCTGCTTGAGCCCAGTTTCGCTGGTCTGCTCGATTTTCCGGTGTGTGCTGTGGGTATCGCCACCACCGGCGGGGTTCGAGTCACATTGCTGTCCTGTGAGATTTGGAGAGGGGGGCTCCGGACGTTTTGCTGGAAAATTTTAATGTTTTGAAGGGGCTGGAAATCTGCGAGAAAAAAGCCAAGAGTTGTCATTCAAAAGGATGTTGTAGCATTGCAGCGGGGCTTCAGTTTACCTCAACTCGGCCAGGCTTCCTCTTGGGATAGACGATCGTGCTGCAAACTTTGGGGTGAAAGTGGGACTCGGGTAGACCCACTTGATTTCTAGGGGATCGAGGCTCATAGGTATGGAGGGTGGGGGGACCGATAGCAAAAATGCCATTCTGAATTCAAGGGTCTTCTCGAGGAAGGATTTAATAAGAGCGTCCTTAAGCCGTGTAGCTTGCTAGCGGGTGGGAGAAAAGCAAGTTTTAAACCCGGAATGTTCCAGGAGGGCAGTTTAAGTGTACATAGCAACAACAACAAAAAAACCAGCCTATGGATGTTAAATTTTTTCACTCCCCCTCCCCATTTTTCTTCCTTAAGAAATAGGGAAGCTGCTAGGCTACTTTTAATTGCTAAAGTGTTTTTGCCTCCTTTTAAACACGTCAGGTCATGTTGCTCTCTTTTCCCAGCTTGCTTCTCCAGTCGGCATAGCTGCCAGGGCCCCAGGGCTGCAGGGTTGGGGTGCAGGGACGCCGAGGAGCTGAAGAGAAACATCAAAAAGTTGGAATTGCAGCTTCCTTCCCTGCACTTCCCCGAACTCCACTTGCTCTGGTGGCTGCCCGAGTTCTCCCGCACTTCTTCCTTCTCTTCCCAGCTCTCTCGCTCTTTGATCTATTTCTCTTTCTCTCGCCCCCTCCCCCCGCAGGACTTTTTAAATGAACCTCATTGTTGGGAACCGGCTCTCAACTTGGTTCCTGTAATCCGCTCTCCGTGGGGTGGTTGCTGTTACAGATTCCCGATCCCCGGCAGCTGATCCTAAGGGACCGACTTTAGAATTTGCACAATGACACCCACATGGGCTGGGAGCCAACTCCCAGGTCATTCCCCCCACCCTCAGCACCCTTTCCAAATCTTGGGTGCAGTGTGGGCAGGTGACCAGGGTCCCACTGGAACAGAAACCTGCCTGTGGTAGCTCTGCCCCTCACCCCCCAATCCATTATTGACTGGCAGGCGGGTGGGGGGATTTGGTGCTTTCCTTCTCCTTCCCACCTGCAGCTTTGCGTTAAAGATTAAACACTGGCGCTCTTATTCCAGCCTGCTCTTGGAGCCAGAAGACTAATTGCAAAGGCATCTTCCCAGGGGAAGGGGGTGGGGTGGGCAGAGCTTGTTGGGGAGAACATTGTGGAAAGTACCCCTTTCTGGATCATGGGGCAATGAGTTTTAGTTTCAGGAATCACATCCCTAACCCTAACCCCAGAGTGGACACCCCAGCAAGATAAAAGCAAAGGCAGTCTGGAAACCTGTTGCCAAAGGAAGGGAACACTTCTGAAGAAGGAAGTTAAGAGTCTTAGGACAAGTTTCGGGGTGGTCAGCTAAGCAGGGATTGATTAAAAGGGGATGGGGCTCCTAGTTTTCTAAGGATTACCTGTTTTTGTTAGGGGGAGGGGCAATCTAGAGAGGTCAAAGTGATGTGAGATATTTTGAGCTGAGGAATCTATTTGGGAGATACAGAAGTTGAATTTTATGGCTACAAGTGGTAGCTTTGGGGACAGGATATGGGGGTCCATTTTAGGGGTCTGCATAGGGTAGGGTACATGCATAAAACAATTTCTCACATAGGCCAGGGTTTTGTTTTGTTTTTTTGAAGCATGGGACCAAAGTAAACCCAGGTGGTTGGTCTGTGGGAGAAGGGGGGAGGGGGCTTGCCAGGGCAGGGGTGGGGATGATTCCTTGGAGATGGGCATTTCTAATTGTGGAGGGAGCTGCCATTATAGGGTCTGCTCTTCGGGCCTGGTGGATGGCCCTAGTTGCTAACCATCCTCTCTTCTCTCTTCCCTCCAGGGTAACAAGATGCTCAACTACAGTACTCCCAGTACGGGGGGCTGCTTGCTGGACAGGAAGGCGGTGGGCACCCCTACTGGTGGGGGCTTCCCCCGGAGGCACTCGGTCACCCTGCCCAGCTCCAAGTTCCACCAGAACCAGCTCCTCAGCAGCCTCAAGGGTGAGCCAGCCCCAGCTCTGAGCTCTCGGGATAGCCGCTTCCGAGACCGCTCTTTCTCAGAAGGGGGCGAGCGGCTGCTGCCCACCCAGAAGCAGCCTGGAAGCGGCCAGGTCAACTCCAGCCGCTACAAGACGGAGCTGTGCCGCCCCTTTGAGGAGAATGGTGCCTGTAAGTACGGGGACAAGTGCCAGTTCGCACATGGCATCCATGAGCTCCGAAGCCTGACCCGCCATCCCAAGTACAAGACGGAGCTGTGCCGCACCTTCCACACCATCGGCTTTTGCCCATACGGGCCCCGCTGCCACTTCATCCACAATGCTGAGGAGCGCCGCGCCCTGGCCGGGGCCCGGGACCTCTCCGCTGACCGTCCGCGCCTCCAGCATAGCTTTAGCTTTGCTGGGTTTCCCAGTGCCGCTGCCACCGCCGCTGCCACGGGGCTGCTGGACAGCCCCACGTCCATCACCCCACCCCCCATCCTGAGCGCCGATGACCTCCTGGGCTCACCCACCCTGCCTGATGGCACCAATAACCCCTTTGCCTTCTCCAGCCAGGAGCTGGCGAGCCTCTTTGCCCCTAGCATGGGGCTGCCCGGGGGTGGCTCCCCGACCACCTTCCTTTTCCGGCCCATGTCTGAGTCCCCTCACATGTTTGACTCTCCCCCCAGCCCTCAGGATTCTCTCTCGGACCAGGAGGGCTACCTGAGCAGCTCCAGCAGCAGCCACAGTGGCTCAGACTCCCCTACCTTGGACAACTCAAGACGCCTGCCCATTTTCAGCAGACTTTCCATCTCAGATGATTAAGCCAGGGTAGGGAGGGTCTCCCTACCCACTCCACTACCCCACCCCATTTCCACATCCCCTACCCTCACCTCCCTGTCCTACCCTACAAACCCCTACATTAACAAGGTTAAGCTCAACCCCTTTCCCCTAGAACCTTGGAATGCTCCTCCCTATCCTCCCTTTTAACCCCCTAACATAAGGACAAGTCAATTTGTCAGTAGCTTCCTCTGGCTTGAAACCCCCTCCCCTTGATTTTATAGCCCACTTATCATGCATAACAGACAAGTCCCATATTTGTCAGTAGATGCCTTTTTTCCGGCTTAAGCCTTAAGTGCCAAATCACAAAAGAAAAAGCAGTAACAGTTTACAGAAGCAACTTAGTGCCTTGTAATCTAACTTTGTCACTGTGACTACATTACCTCTTCAGCGCCAGAGGGCACCCGTGGGCCTCCCAGAGCCTCTGCCCATGGGGAGGGGGGAGGGGGGAAGGGGGGACCCAGACCAGCAGCTCCCTCCACTGGCGATACAACTGCACCTTCCCTTATTTCAGTCTCCCACACATTTCCTCCTCCCCTCCCCAGTAACCCCCCCACACCCCCTTGGGAGAGTTGTTGCCAGACTTGGGTTTTTGGGGAAACCTATCTTGACATTCAAAACCTTTTTCTTCCCGACCTGAACCTCTGTTGACTAATCTTGCCTGGGTTCGTGTAGGTCTGCAGGAGGGAAGACTGAAAAAGTGGATGAAGATTGTGACATAAGTGGGACTTTGTGATTTAATTTTTTTCTTTTTTTTTTTTAAGTGGGGAGGAAGGGGAAGCTAGATGGACTATGAGAGACTTGATTTTGGTGCTAAAGTTCCCCAGTTCATATGTGACATCTTTTTAAAAAAAAAATGACAAAAAAAAAATGAGAGAAAAGCTAAAAAAACATGTAAGGGGTGAGAGTTAATGGTATTCATTCCACATACAATATCTGTGTAAAACGATTTCCCGTAGAAGTAGCTTTAATGGTTTTTGCTCTAGAATACCGTAGGTCTATCCTTAGAGCCCTCACGCCATGCTTTTTTCCCTGGGTTTTAAACTTCATATAACTTTCAGAAATTGGAGAGCAAAAATTTTGCTTGTCACTGCACATCAATATAAAAAAGCTTATTTAACTTATCAAGACGTATTTATTGCCAAACTATGCTTTTTTTTTTGTTAATTTTGTTCATATTTATCGGGATGACAAATCCATAGAATATATTCTTTTATGTTAAATTATGATCTTCATATTAATCTTAAAATTTTGTGACGTGTCTTTCCCTTTTTTCCACAGTTTTAATATATTATTCTTCAACGACATTTTTGTAACTTTACACTTTTTTTTGGTTATTTTATTTTAAAAAAATGAAAAATTAATTTAAAAAAATGCAAAAAACTGTTGGATTATTTATTTTAGAAAATTTCCCCCTTTGTGTTGGACTGCAAATTGAGTTTCTTTCTCTTTAGACCTTTCACAACTAGGACTGAGAATGTATGTAGAAGTTCTGTGACAGTACAGAAGGAAAACAACTTTTTATGTATAGCTTCTAAAAGGGAAAAAAATAAAAGAAACCCTTTGACTTCCACGTGCCCATCTCAAGACATTCCGATCGCAGATTTGAGGTTCTGGATTCCAGGTTTAGAGTTTTCCAATGTTAATGCAAACAGAACTGGCACACACATTAAGATGAATGTAATTATTATTCCTCTTGCTGGTCACTACCGTCGCTTTCTATTTCTCTTTCTTTGTGTGAATTTATTTAAAAGAAAAAAAAACTTTTTGTAACGACTATTTGCAGTTTAAAAATCAATAAACCCCATTTTTTTTTCAAGAAACACTGATGGTAAAGCTGGTTTTACTTGGTTTGTGGTTTTGTTTTGTAAGTTTGTCTCCTGTGTATGTTGCGGGTAAAGCCAGTGGCTAGCAGCTCCCTTGGTGGATGCTGGAAGTCTGCTGAGTTCAGAGGAGTGGGTTGGAGGAAGTCCATTGCAGAGCAGCCTGTACTTCTCTATATTATATGCCCAGTGTGTTGGTTGTTGGCAAGGGGCCAGCATTGGCCACCTGCGTGGACTCAGAGGTCCAACAGGGCTGCTGAGGCACAGGGGCTTCCAGTCTTCTCTGCCAGCCTGTGTGATGTTTGGGGTGCCAAAATGGTGAAGGGGGGATTGTAGCACATGGCACACCAGTAAGCCTGGATTTGAGTGAGTGGTATGGGTTCTTCCAGGCTCATTTTACCCACAGGAAATTTACTTGAAGGCCCTATCCTCGAACTACCTGGAATGTGATGAAGCACTGTAGGCTTGGAGAGGATCATCCAGGGCGGTGAGGGGCTCAGTCACAGGGCACCTGGATCTGCCGTGTGCTGCTGTATTGGGAGGGCTGTTAGGGGCAAGTGGTATTAAAATGGCCAGCATAACCAAGTTGTCCCACTACCGTTAGTCTTTGTGAACCTTAATACCATTCAGAGTAGGTAAATTGTCATCTTTGGAAGGGTGAGGTCTCTTTGGCTACAAACAACCCAGCCAAGGCCAGATGCCCATCAAGGGGATGTTTTCTTGCCAGAGAGGTTGGATCCTTCTGGAAACCCCAAGTCTGGTTCTTGGGAGGATTTCTTTTTGGGGAGGAACAGATGGACATTGTTATTTGGGGCTCAGCTGCCTTTGGTTCTTTGCACTCAGTACATTTTGGGGGGTAAACTGAATTTCCACCTGGCCAAAGGCAGGTTGGTCTGCAGAAGACATTGGCTGGGTCAGGGCTGTCCTTGCTCTGGGAAGACACCTTATGTACCCTGTCAACTCCCCCCCTCCACCCCCCAGCCGGCAGGTGACTGCTGGGGGGAGGGCTATGAGGTAGAGAAAAGGGACTATTACCTCTTAGGGCAAAAGTTGGTGGTGGAGAGAAGGGGAAAAGCAGGCTTTTTGAGACCCAAGTGAACCTAGGCCTCTGTCCCTTAAGGAGGCAATGACTGTCTCGTGTGTGTGTGTGTGTGTGTGTGTGTGTGTGTGTGGTGGGGGTGGTGGCATGGCATGTGATTCTCCTCTGACTAAAAGCAATCACTCACCTTGAGCTCATTCCCTGCAGGCATAGATGGGCATATGGTAGACATCTAATTTTCCAGCTCTTGGTTGGGTTCAGAGGGGACAAAGCATACCCACTGCCTGCCCAGACATTTCCTCCATCTAGTCAGTCCCTGAGTGAGAACAAAGGAAGCTCTGGAGGGTGGTGTGGTCTGTAAAGACCAGGGGAGGCTCCCTAGGGCCTGAGGACGTTCTCTTTCCCAAGTGAGCTTGGTTGCTCCAGAGCCGGATTTTTCTACCATCTAGATCTGAAATGTAGAGGAGATAGGTCCAAAGCTACTTGGGAAAGGAAATGGCAGAATTCTTTCGGGCCTATTCTTTTTCCAGGATTTTGGAAGATGAAAGGGCCTCAGCAGCAGTCCTGTGCTCTGGGCTGGCAGGGAGTCTAGGGAGGTTTGGGCCCAGCTGGCAGGGGGCCTCTGTGGCTGAGCTCATCTGCAGGCTGGGGGGCACAGGAGCCATGCAGAGAGCTGGACGGAAGGTCTTTGTACAGGGAAGTGGGGCAGGAAAGGCCAGGCCAGCCTTTGTCAGCCAACTTTCTGGGGACATGAGGCCCACTTCCTCACCTCTTTGCCCTGGACCTTGGGGCATCTCTGGCTTGGGGGCCTGCACAAGGTCTGCCCTTGCTGGTCAGGGCCTCTGTGGCTGTTGGCCCTGCACCCATGGTCCAGCCCTTGGCTAAAGGTCTTTGTTTGGAGCAGCTCAAAGAACTGAGCTGTTTTGGCCACTGAGTAATGGCTTACCTTTTTAGGCCTGGAGGCCTCATTTTAAAGAGGAAGGCTGGGAGCCTGCTGTTCCTCAGAGGCACTCTGGGGGGCCTCTGAGAGAATTTGGGGGCAGACAAAAGCTGGGCTTTACAGTCAGTTGGATCCGAAGGACTGGTTACCAAAGGGGCAAGACAGGGCCATGGCAGGAGGAGGTTTCCATGGCATGGAAGAAGGGGCATGGAAATCCTCTGCCTGGGTTCAAATGCAGCTCTCCTTATACCAGTCTGTGCCTTGGGCAAATGACTCAACCTTGAATTTTCCATCTGTATCTCCAGGGGGGATTGTGAGGATCAAGCGGACCGTTAGCCACGGCAGCTCCTAAGTGCCAGGTAGTCAGAACGTCGTGTGTGTTAATTTGAAAAGTGCTCAGTGACCCCCAGGAGGAAGTTCTGGACTATCCCCATCTTACATATGGAGAAATCGAGGTGCATAGTTCACGCATTTGTCACACAGCTAGAAGTGTCAGGATTTGAACCCAGGCACCCTAGCCCCAACATTGCATTTTACCACCATGTCACAGGCCAGCACACTGAATACATTTGGCACAGTCCCTAGCACATAGTAACTGCAAATTGACCCATGTTCATGTCTCCCTCGGCCTTTTGTGGAGACTTTGCAGGAACGGGACATGAGAGGCAGCCAGTTGGATTAGATGACTCCACACACACCCTCCACCTAGTGTCATGATCTCATGTCTCATGAGGCCCTGGATTGGCATGTTTGGAGGACAGGGCTGGGGCCACCTCCTTGGACTTTCCCCTTCTCTGCCTGCGGCAGGGTGGCTTCTGTTAATGATTGACAGGAAAGGGTGCCCTGGGTGCCTTGGGAGTTGGCTCTGTGCCCTTCTTCCCCCGGGGTCTCCCCGCCCTACACGTAGCCAACCATTTGATCACGTCTGGCTGGACGGGCTGGCACTCTCCCTGAGGGGGAGACCAGACAGGCTCCTCACCACGCCGTTGCCTTCCAGATCTTTCTCAGGCTGGCCTCCAGTCTGCAGGGCAGCAAGGAGGAATTCAGAGAGTTGGGAAGAGGGCGAAACCTCAGCCTTTTCTTGAGATTCAGTCAGCCCTGGGGAGCCCTGTGGTGACCGCTTCATAGTGGGTAAAGCCTGGGTTACAGAGAAAACTTCTAGTCCTCGGGCCTACAGTGCTTTCGGGAGGAGCCCCAAAGGGTGACCTCTAAGCTATCATTGTGGGAAATTAGTCTCTGGGGAGCCAGGGCAGGGGCTGCTCACATGCCAGGCCAGGTTCCTTCCCCCTGCCCACGAGAGTCAGCGGCTGGCCAGGGCACAAGGGTGCCTCCACTGCATTTAGGCTGCCTGCAGTTGCGTTGACATGTTGGCAAAGGCCGGGTCTCAAGGTACAGGGCTGTGAATGACGACCTCACTTGCGCTGTCAGCTTGAGGTGCAGTGAAAATAAATATTGGCAGTGGCCAAACCTGAGGCACTTTTCTCGCCACCTGGAGTCAGTCAGATAGCTGCTCCCTGACTCCCAGTTGCACTGCAGGGAGAAGGAGCTCATGACCACAGAGGGCAGAGTTTATTTCTGCCCACCCCAGGGTTCCAGGGGGATGAGAGACTCTGCTGCCCAGGTAAGAAGCAGATTTTGGAGTCAGGGACCTGGGTTCGAGTCCCTGCTCAGAGTCAACCTCACTCTGTGACTTCCAGTGAAAAATGTAGTAAGCAGCCCAGAGCCCCAGTTTCCTCATTTGCAAAATGGGATGATGATGATGATGACGACGATGATGACACCTAGTTCAATGGATAAACAAACGGTGGCATAATCACACAATGGAATACTATACAGCTGTATAAAAGAATAACTGCCTTATACATACAACAACATGGACACATTTCAAAAACATGAAGTTGAGTGAAGGAAACCTGCCACAAAAGAGCACGTGCTGTGAGTCCATTTATATGAAGTTCACAAGCAGGCAAGGCTGGTCTACATTGATAGAGATTTGATGAGAAGATAGAGTATTTGCACATAAAAGTGATGTGAGCTGCATGCTGAAGTTCCATGCACTTTACTTTACATAAATTATACTT